CAATGAGGTTACTGTAATTGACGCATCTTTATGTGTCGGTATCATAGTGTCAATTGTGTGGTATTTGTTCAATACAGTTTTTTCATTTGCTTATTTATTATGGCAAACATGTTTTCTATTTACTTTAAAATCGTTTACTATGTTCTGTTTTTCTTTGCAAATTATATTTGAGTTGACAGCAAACTCTAAAGTAGCATGTTTACACTTATATTTCTCCTCAAAGTGACAACATCACTGGTAGTGAGATGATAATAAACAAGTAGCTAAAAGCTTTTGAAAGCAAGTCATTGGGCACGATTTTTACAAATACTGACCACAATGTCCCAGTCCATCAATCTTGTAACACATAATGGACTGCTCAGTACAAGTAATGCTTTTCAAACTGAGATGCATGTTGTTCAGCTTGTTTTACACTTCTGAACTCTTCATCTTAAGTTGTTCTTTCAGGGGGTGAATGACCGACGTGGTGCCTACCACCGCCCTCAGTGAAATAAAGCTCCGCCTACTCTGCCACGATGACATAGAGAGAATAAAAGTGCTCTGTGGAGAGTGGTTTCCCATTGAGTGAGTGCTGAAACATCTAACCAAACCATCCCTTTATACAGGTCAAGTACAAGTCTAACACACTCTGTTATTGGTTTGCTTGTGTTTTAGGTATCCAGACTCATGGTACCATGATATCACATCAAATAAGAAGTTCTTCTCTCTGGCTGCCACCTTTAAAGGTGGAATTGTCGGGATGATTGTGGCAGAAATAAAAAGCAGAACGAAAGTGCACAAAGAGGTACAACTTTCATATGTATGTTGAGTCAATGACACAAAGAGGAAAAACTGTCAGAATAAAAGAATGCTTGTTATAATGGTGCAATACATATTCTGTGCTTAAAGGAGTAGTTCATCCAAAAATTCAAATTTGAAAATGTACTTACCCTCAGGCCATCCAAGATGTAGATGAGTTTGTTTCTTCAACGGAACAGATTAGGAGAAGTTTAACATTACATCACTTGCTCACCAATGGATCCTCTTCAGTGAATGGGTGCCGTCAGAAAGAGAATTCAAACAGCTGATAAAAACACCACAATAATCCACACCGCTCTAATTAATCATTAAGATCTTAAAACGAGTCCTATGTCCATAATATATATTTTTTTCTCCAGTAAAAATGTTGTCTCGCCTGAATCAAGAGAGAAATATGCACAGATCAAGAACAGCTTATGAAAACAGTCGAAAATAGTTCTAATCAAATATGTCAGTGGATTTTTATGTGAGAAGGACAACAGGGTTGGACTTTTTCACTAGTGGAAGCTTTATATGAGTTATGTACTTTTTAAAGTTAAATCAGTGGCAAAATGATGGATTTGTTTCTTACAAACACACAGATTTTCAATTCACAAGACAGTAATTGATGGACTGGAGTCATGTAGTTTATTATGATGCTTTTGTCAGCTGTTTGGACTCTCATTCTGACGGCACCCATTCACTGCAGAGGATCCATTGGTGAGCAAGTGATGTAATGATACATTTTTTCAAATCTGTTCCCACAAAGAAACAAACTCATCTACATTTTGGATTGTCTGAGGGTGAGCAAATTTTCAGGAAATTAGTATTTTTGGGTGAACTATTACTTTAATGTCTATGAATATGTGAGAGGATTTTGTTTACTGTGTTTTATGCTATTGAATAATACATTTTTGGATGAGTAAACTGACTTTGACCATGAACAATAGTTCCTCTAGGTGAGCTTTGATGTGAAGGATCATAATTAAGATCATCTGACATATCCAAAGCCTTTTTATAGCAGGTGATTAATTAGGTTACAGACTAAATTTCTGCACGTAGCAAAGGATTTGACTTTCATTAGAAAGGATTTTACCTCTTCATGGTACAGTTATGTCTCCTACTAAATCTGCTTGCAGTTACTCTCCCGTGTTCATGATTGCTTTTATATTATGCAAGTTAGATATTACCGTTAGTTCACTTTCAATTAACTATTTAAACCCATGTATGATGAGTACTACATATCAAAGTCAGAGTCCTTTATATGTACAAGTTCTGTGCATGAAGTACAATGAAACAGTACAGTCTTACTTGAATGCTTTTCCACAGACCAGACCATATAAAAGACAGAATATAATATACAGTTTTGCTATGTACTTAAATGTACAATAAAACAATAATAATAATTCTAAAATTTCTGCTGAAAATTACGCTTTGCATTACAGGAATAAATTACATTTTAATATATATTAAAATAGAAAAAAGTTATTTTAAATTATAATAATACTTTACAATTTTGCAATTTTTACTGTATTTTTGCTCAAATAAATCCAACCTTGGTTAGCATAAGAGACTTCTTTTCAAAAAGAAAAAAAAGCTCCTTGAAAAATCTTTAACTCACTCAATATGTCAGTAACTAATAACAAAATCCAAATCATTACTTTTTGTTATTCCAGTGTTATCCCAGCTAATCATCTGTGTTTCTAACTCAGCACATACTTCTCTCCACCAGGATGGAGACATCTTGGCCTCCAGCTTTCCTGTTGACACTCAAGTTGCGTACATCCTGAGTTTAGGGGTCGTGAAGGAGTTTCGAAAACATGGAATAGGTGAGAGGTGACGTTTGTCTCACCTATTCTTACAAACTGTGTGAACAGTATTCAAACAGTTTGAATGGACACTCGTATTTCTTTCTCTCTCTTTGCAGGCTCTCTGTTACTAGACAGTCTAAAGGAGCACATCTCCACCACGGCACAGGACCATTGTAAAGCCATCTACCTGCATGTGCTCACCACCAATAACACTGCCATTCACTTCTATGAGAACAGAGACTTTAAACAGCACCACTATTTACCGTATTATTACTCTATACGTGGAGTGCTGAAGGATGGCTTCACCTACGTCCTCTACATCAATGGCGGACATCCTCCATGGACTATCTTATATCCTTTTCAAATAAATGCAGCTTTGATGATAATAAGACGCGTCTTTCAAAAACATGAAAAAAAAAAATTCTACCAACCCCAGACTTTTGAACGGTAGTGTGTATTCCCAGTTGTCTTGTAGTGTTCCTTGACTCACTCAGCACTGATTATATTCATCATATAGGTTCGGCACTGGCCAGTCTGAGCCCCTGCTCAATTCCTCAGAGAATTTACCGGCAAGCACAGAATCTGCTGCGCAGTTTTCTGCCGTGGTCGGGCATCTCTTCCAAGAGCGGCATTGAGTACAGCAGAACAATGTGAGGATCGTCAGGTCACAACAGTGCAGGGTACGCCTGACTCATCCACCTCTTTCCACTCTTAAATGTCTCATTCATTTTCTTCTAAGCTCTAATGATGTCTTATTTATCAGGTGGAAGGGATTGATTTGTTTGGGTCACATCAGATGCCGAAGAGGATTGTGAAGACTGATATCAGATCTCTCTGGTCTCGAGCAGTGTATTATACTTGTATATTTTACATGTATATACTGTACCAATATGTACTTTAATTAATATATGCGTAGTCATTAGTAGATTGCCCTCTTAATATAAACTCTCCACTTCATGCCTGTAATTCTGCTGCTGTGTAGAAATATTCTATTGTTTATCCAGATTTTTAATATAAATAGATTTTTTTAATTTGTGCCTGTTCTGTATAGATGATTTTAGGGTTTGATGGAAGAAGTATGCATACTTTTTTTCATTTAGTCACTTTCATGCATGTGTCAAGCACTAGTGTTTGGTTTTGTGCAGGAACACTTTGACACTAAGCATATATTTAAGCCCCCAGTTTTAAGTTTTAAATAACATTTGCACAGAGGCAGTGAATGCAGTGCTGCTATGAAGGGAAAATAACAGTTGCAGACAACCCTCCATCTCGCCAAATGTGTATTATGTGTTGCTGACAAATTTAAATGCGAAAACTTTTTAAACTCAGATCATCTTAATTTAGCTAGAGAGTTGCATCCTGCCATTCCATGCAATGCACTTTCTGTTCTTTTTAAGGGAAAATAAATGAATGTTGTGGGGAGAGAAATGCTTGAATTTCGGTATGTTGCTGTGAATCAGGGATTTACACACAAAATAAACATATTTAAAAATAGATCACTCCTGCATTACGTGACTTGCAATATGTTTGACCATCCATTCATGATGTCTTTGATGAAACACACTGGTTTATCGGCGAAGGGTGTTGGTGTTGTTTACAGAGAAACATTTCTGTGGGATTACATAAGGAACCTTACAGAAAATGTTCTATCGTATGTAATTGGCCTTGGTGTATTTGGAATTTTGTGTCTTCCTTTTCTGGATATGTAAAAACAATTTGAGACAATTTTTTTTTTTTTTTGGAAACAAAATTGCATGTATGAATAACTGTTTTGAACAAGTTATCAGTATAAGTAATAGAACCACTGTCACCTTGTGCTTTTGAGTTTGAGATTGTGTGTTAATCTCCTACAAGTATTCAGTCTGTTTTAATGTTACATTCTTGTGAACTGGTACATTGTTGTGGTTTACATTTCATTGTGTTAATTTTTTTTGTAAAGAATCTAAACAGGGGAAATGTTTTACACTCTTATAGTAAAAAAAGACATTCTGAAGAGAGGATTGTCAACATGTAGGTGACATGAAATACTGAAAAGATTAACTGAAATGTTTTTCATAATCATACCCGATAGTCTCTGAATTGTGCAGCACCCTCTCGTGTTCATTGAGAGGATCGTAGACTAGAGGGGATTTTTTTTTTATGTTAACAAAATTAATTTTATTTGTTGTATTGCTCTTGTCCATTTGCATCCTTCCATTTGTCTGTTCTCCATTTATGAATTGATTATTCATTCATGCATTAAAAGCATTTTGAGATGACCTAAGAGAGAAAATAAGGAAACTAAGATTGTGCAAACATTTGTTTGAATAGTAGCCTATTATGTTACCTTTTGTTTACATTTCAAACTCAGAATGTTTGAGGTTTTACGGTAATTGTCATTTAATGACGTAATTTTGGCTGGCTTCGGTTTAGTCACGCCTCTGGACCCTCATTCAGAGTGAGACAGACCAGCAGCAAACGCTAAGCATAAGCAACTTCTTTCTGTCGTGGCTCCTTTCGTTATTTGCCGTCTACACCAATCTACGATTGTTTTCTTAGCCTCGTGCACATTTGCTAACGGTGAGTGATGCTGCGATTCTTTTTTAAATGTTACATCCAAACAAAGTGACTTTTTTTTACGAAAGTGAAAGAAAAGACACTTCTATGTGTTCGTGAATTATTCAAGAGATTAAAGGAATTATAACGAGCAATGGTCGCTGTTTAAAATCTGTTAGACGTGTTTTTGTTTTTTTTAAACCTCTAAATGCTGAATTTATTTATTTTTCTTTTGGCGGTCTTCGACTTTAATCTGTTGCATCTTTGTACGATCATCGGCATCGTTCTACTTTCTTGTTCATTACTTTTTGAATATGTAACTTTTAAGGTTTCAGATATGATATAGTGTAGGAAGTTTGAGCAAATGAGTGAAAGTGGCTTAAGTAATGCACAGAGGGACTAGTTGAGTTGGTGAAGGGAGGGAGGGGTCGAAGTAACAATACAAGTAAACGTGCCACAATTCTAGGAAATATACAGGAAAAATGTGTGTTTCGTGTAAAGAAGGTGTTTTGGTGGTAGACTGCGACTATGATTCTGATACATTTACCTTGGAAATCTTTGGCAGACGCGCAGATGTTGACATAATATTGCAATGTTGACACCAGATGACAGTGAAAAACAGATCCTCTCTAGAGATGTGCTCTGCTTCTCAGTTTTGCTTTACCAGAACAAATAACAATGTATCTTAGTGCTCTTTATTGCGTTTGATTTAACGCTACAAAAAAGTGTCTCAGTGTTGGGTTGATGACTTAATCTTCAAGAACATTGTACAGTAAATGAAAGTACACGGGATCTTTGGCAACTCTTTCACCTTACATACATACGCTAAATAATTAAAAATCTTAATTTTTAAGAATTAAAATCTTGATTAATGCATTACATTAGTTTAGGATTTATAAGACACATAAAGCTATATTTTTAAACATAAATGTGCTTTTCCATTTTAAAGAATTACATTTTTTTTAACCCAAAATGAAAATTATATGTTCTCCCTTTACTGCTGAATGCAAAAGTAGACTCGGGCTTGACTGATGTATTTGCAGTCCCGGCGAAGGTATGCTAAGGTAAAGGCCAAGTCAAATTTGATTACATTCATGAATAGCCTAATGTTAATAAAGCTAAACGTGTACTTGCATTATAAATACAGATAAACATTACTAAAAACTATTTTAGTTCTTCTCACTCCATAGGCTAACAAATCCTTTAAAGGAGACATATTATGCCCCTTTTTACAATATGTAGGCTAATATAAGTCTCTGGTGTCCCCAGAATGTGTCTGTGACGTTTCAGCTCAAAATACTCCACAGATCATTTGTTATATCATTTTGAAAATGGCCATTTTGAGTGGAAGCAGAAACACGCTGTTTTTCGGGCCTGTCTCTTTAAATGCAAATGAGCTGCTGCTCCCCGCCCACTTTTCCAGAATAGAGCTGCATCATTACAGCTCGTACCTCCTAAAAACATCTGTTTTGGTTCTGATTATCATGTTTATTGCCGCTGAAATCATGCGTTTTAAACCATATTAGTTTAAACTTCTGATAATATAATGAGATCCCTTTACCACGTCACCAAGGGAGCTAAATCAGACTCAGACGCTTGCAGAAAAAGGCTTACCAAAACAAAGTTACTGGGTTAATCTTTTTCACGTTTCCTTGGTTGGTAGATGCACCGGGGACCTGATTATAGCACTTAAAACCTGGAAAAGTCAGATTTTCATGATATGTCACCTTTAAATTTAACAGTAGGCTATTCAGAAAACTAATGAAAAATAGTAGGCTACAAGTACATCATCCCAAGAAGGGAAAGTAGTGGCCTAATGGTTAGAGAGTCGGACTCGTAACCCAAAGGTTGTGGGTTCGAGTCTCATACCGGCAGGGATTGTAGGTGGGGGGAGTGAATGTACAGCGCTCTCTCCCACCTTAAATACCACGACTGAGGTGCCCTTGAGCAAGGCACCGAACCCCCAACTGCTCCCCGGGTGCCGCAGCATAAATGGCTGCCCACTGCTCCGGGTGTGTGTTCACGGTGTGTGTGTGTGTTCACTGCTGTGTGTGTGCACTAAGGATGGGTTAAATGCAGAGCACTAATTCCGAGTATGGGTCACCATACTTGGCCACATGTCACGTCACGTCACGTCACTAAAACAAATTAATTGCTGCTGAAACTGGAGGTCGTTGGGCTCACATAGCCTACCTCAAATTCGGCACGAATCCATAAAAAAATGTTTCCATATTCATGATGTATTTGAATACTAAATACGTAAATCATCCTTCACATGTGCAATGTTTGGTGAGTGAATGCAGATAGCACACGTACATACGTATCTGGAAAGCATCTGCTGTGTACAGCATCTGACAGATGCACTGTAAATTATTTCCAGGATTTCACAAGATGTTACTGCAATATTTCACAGTAAATTACATTATCACTTCACAGGCTTTAACTGTGATATTTCATTTTCAAGTGTCAAGTTGTCCACAGATTTGTTGTGAGCAGTTTCATGTAGGAACTAATTTCTTTCTAACAATTAGAATTATTGCAATTTTTTTTTTTATTATTCATGTAAGACCCAGTGGATAGAATATGCTGCCAGACTACTCTTTTCACTCTAATTTCTTAAAAAAAAATATATATATATTATTGATTCCTTTCTGCTAAATCACAGTAATACGATGGAATCTTACACAGTAAGTTACTGTGAAAGTAATGTAGCTCCTTCACAGTAATTTACTGTAAATTTACATACAGTAATTTACTGTGAAAGTAATGCAACTAGTAGCCAGTAATTTACTGTGAATTTACGGTCAAATAATTTACAGTGTGTCTTTCAGATGTCAGTTTTACATACATTCTAAATCATAAACATCTTAGAGACGGCCTATAGATGTATTGCAGATGAGCAAACACGCTAAAAAAAAATACGTCTTCCAGATGTAAATGCAGACGTCTCTGTGACATTTGTGTGCTATCAGGGAATGGATTGTACTTCGGACTATTTGACTTGAGTAGTGTAGCCTAACTTTTTATATGTTTGATTGGCTTATTTTATTTTGATAATGAACAGGCTGCGATGTTATAACTAACATGTGTGTGCGCTGGTGAGGAGCCTGCGCTATCACTTGAATTTGTTCCTTATGACAGCACAAACAGACATCACGTGAAACCATAAAGGATCTACTTTTATTTGTGTACAGTCACAATAACAACAAAACACTATGCTTTACAAAATAAAGAAAACAAACAGATGTCGCTTTCTGCCATATAGGCTATTGATTTCCTTTCCGTGAACTTGTTGCATTAGAAAAATGGACAAAAACTCGGCCACAATTTGAGTTGAATTACTGAAATAAATGAACTTTTCCGCGACATTCTAATTTATTGAGATGCACCTGTAGAACTTGTCACTGTTTTTCCTTTCGTTTCTGTGAATTATTTAAGTCAAATATATTTTGTGAATAGGACTATTTATTTATTTTATATATGTGATTTTATTCAGTTTTTCTCCATATAATATTTGTTGTTTTAATTCAGCTTTATAACAGAAATGTTTTTAATAGTTTTAATTAGGCTAACTTTAATAACCCTACCCAAATGTCAAAACATCCATAGAGCTGCAGTACACTTTAAATTTTTCGGCTGTTTCAAGCCACAAATATTTACAAATATTACTTTAATGCCGGTCTGGGACAAAATTTCATTGAATGTGCCTATCTTTTGTGTGTAAATTCACTTTTTTATCGGTTATTTATGAACATGACACAATACTCTATAGCATTAATATACCTTGAAAAGAGTTTGTAACCCTTTTAAAGCACGACATGAAATACGGTGACTGGTAAATCGTGAATTAGCGGTCATGACGCACACTGCTTCAAGTCAGACGCTGATCGGTCGTCATGTCGGAAAGATTGTATTTACAGACTGAACGCACATAAATGCCACCACAAAGTTAGCCAGTGGGTAAACGTAAGATTTTCTTTTAGCTCAGAGTTGGGGTGTGTCAGTTAGAAAACATAGCAGATACAATGGTACAATTGTTGAAATTATTAAAATTATTATTATTTTTTTTTTTGAACAAAACTAGCTACTAGATACAAAATACAATTATTATGATAGAATATATAATGATTAAGGTTAAAGCCTAATAAAACCATAAAGCAAAAACACACCTGATGCAGATTATGTATCATTATGTAGAAATTGATTTCCAAAATCTTGCTTTATTTTTTGTAAAAAAAAAAAAAAAAAAAAAGCATCATCATTTTGGTCTGACCAAAGTGACACCTGACATCGCAATTACATCTTCCAAACTCGTAAATACAAATTTCCCAGGAGGGCATCATCATAAGGATCATTGGTTGTCTTAGGTGAACTAATTTATGGTTATTTAGTGTATTATTCCTGATTTGAGAAAGCAAAATGATACTGTAAACTACTAGGAAAAGGCTGATTACATTGGAGGTTACATATACAGCCTGATGTTCACTATTTTCCCCAATACTGAAGTCACAGAGCTTAAAGAATCCCAGTTGAAATGGTGCCACTCAGATGGGATGTTTTTGTATTTTGAGGGGGCTGATCCATTTTTTCATTGTTTTGAAAAACAGGAAAAAAACGATTGCATCATAACGGAGTATACTTAACAGCACTGTTCATTTCTTGTCTTGAAAATGATTTTGTGTCTTCACCTGAAGAACACATTGTGTTAATTACTTGTTTCTTTCTACCTAGACCTCTGGGCCATGCTTTCAGTCACGTAACTGATAGTTCTCCAGTTGGAATATTGGATTTTGGAAAGTAACAGCTTACCCCATTGGGACCTTATACAGACAACTAGAGGTCATAGTGTACTGAATCTGTTACAGTGACTAGAAGAAATACTTTGTGTGACCTGGTATAAAAACATTGATTTAAGAGGATATTTCTCTGTATAAACCAACCATTGAGTTAATGTAGAGCATAATCCAAAACTGTGCACATGCATGTTTTAATGTAGTTAAAGACATGAGGCTGGGTATCTGATC